GGTAGGGAAGGAGAATAATAAATGAAGGAAAAAAGAGGAAAGGAAAAAGAAAAACAAGGAACAGGGTTAATCACGAGAAAAAAGGGGGAAAAGGAAAGAAAAAAAACCTTAAATTAAAAAAAAAAAAATTTCAACTAGGGACAGGGAAAAGAAAAAATGCTGAAAACTAGGACCTGGTAGGAGAAGATTAAGAATAATAATAAAAAGGACAAAAGTAGTAATAATATTAGTTGTTTTAAAACAGACAAATACAAGCACACTAATCTCCAGAAAAAAGAAAGCAAAAAAGAAAAAAATGAAAAATAAAAAAAGAGAAAAAAAAAATCGGTGGAGGACAGGGCAGGGCACCCAGGCTCCGTCTGAGCACACAGACTGTAATGGAGTCCCTGTAGGCCACACCTCCGTTCACCAAGCAGATGTGGGGTATAAGATTAACAAGAGGAATGTCATACCTTTTCAGTCTTGCAGGTCCCGAGTGTCCTTGGGGTTGCTGGAAAGCAGAATGTGTCTTTAAGCCCCAGGAATTTGCTAGAGTGCTGTCTCTTTAAATATCCAAAATAGTCAAGCTGTTTTTTAAACCTTCAAAATGGCGGCTCCCTCTGGACTGGCAAAAGTCCACAGTTTAGCCCACCTTTCTCTTCACCGTCTCCGTTTGTTCCCCAGCTACCGTGCACAGTCCTCCATGCAGTTCCTGGCTAGCAGGGTGATTTGAGGTTAATTCTTAGGTCCTACCACCACTCGGGAATCTCCAAGCTGTCTGAGCCATCAGGATCAGTCAGGATCACTGAAAGACCGCAGCTCCGTGTGTCTCCTTTTTTGGTATTTTCACAGAAGTTCTTCTGCTAGTTGGGGTTTAGTCCACTTGTATATCCTTCCCTTCAAGGCTCAGGGGTCCAAGATTATCTTCTGTATCTGTGTTAATTGTTTTCCCTTTTCTTTGTTGAAGAGGGTCTGTGCAGTCTTCCTGCCCTAGTCTGCCATCTTGCCGGAACCGTATTCATCCACTATGTTTGTGGTAATTTGTTATAACAGCAATCGGCAGCTGATATACAGTCTTTGATGGAGATGTCACTAGACTCATCTTACAATGAGGAAGCTGGGGTTCAGAGAGGTTCCACAAGTAGACTGGACCGGGGGGGATTAAATCCAGGCTTGTCTCACTCTAACTTGTTGCTGTCTAGTTGATTCCAACTCATGGTGACCCCATGTATGTCAGAGTAGAACTGTGTTCCATAGGATTTTCATTGCTCAGAAATACATTGCTAAGACTTTATTTCATGGCACCTATGGGTAGACTTGAGCCACCCGTTTTTCTGTTAGCATGAGAGTATGTTAACCATTGCACCATCCAGGGACTCCTTGTCCAGCTCTAATGTCATACTTTTTCTACTTTATCAGGCTGTCTTCAGGAGTGTAGGGGACAGTGTAGGGCTAGAAGGAGGAAAGAAATGGGTCATTCTGATGTGCTGGGGAGAGGGACTTAGCATCCAGGAATGGGAAATGGCTCTCATAGTTTGTCAACTATCATGAGGTAAGTCCTGCAGATAAATTACAACGTTTCCTTTCCACCAAGATCCCTGATGAAACCCTTTTCCCAGCTCTGGCTAGAAGAGCTCATTTTAGGCAGGTGAGGAAGTGGGGCAAGAAAGGAAGAATCCAGTTTGCTTTGCACTGACTAGAGATTCTGGTGGACTAAATTTGAACTCTGAAAGTATTTTCCCATGGAAACATTGCTGCATGGTTGTTAAACTCTTTGTATCATCAGTACTCTTGTTTCAAGTATATTAGGAATTGAATACTTTGTGGATTTCTCCAAGACTCTAACTAGTATTTATAATAGTATTTCTGTAAGAAAATACACTCCATGTCTCCAAAAAGTAAATTACAGAGGAACATAGAAAGTGCAAATTTTTATGTATTTGGGAACAACTAGTAATCTGTTGTTTGTGGTGAATGTTTGTACTTAGAAGTATTAAGATGTTATGAATGTCCTCCAAAAAAAAAAAAGAACCCCCCCCAAAAAAAAAACCAAGCACACTCCTGCGATGAATTTGAATTCGACTTGCAGTGACCCCTCCTTGGGTTTCTGAGGAAGTATCACTACAGAAGTAGATTGCCCAACCATTTTTCTGAGGAGTGGCTGGAGGGTTTGAACCGCCAGCCTTCTGGTTAGCAGTCAAATGTCTTAGGCACTGTGCTAGCAGAGCTCCTTCTAAATATCCTAGTGAATTCCAAAATAGTCTCTGGACCCTTTTATTGTATTAGAATGTGCTTAGATTAAATATTGTTGGTACAGTAAAACCTTCAAAAGCTAGAACTTGTATAAAGCAGAAAGCTGTCAGAGAAGGATACTTTTTTTTAGATGGGCAAGTTACCTTTATTTTCATCACCATTTTTTTTATTTAATTTTTTTTTTATTGTGATTTGGGTGAAAGTTTATAGAGCAAATTGGTTTTCTGTTCAATGGTTCTTACACATTCTGTTTTGTGACAATCCCTGCACTGTAACAGCACTCTTCCTACTTCCTCCCTGTTAACCATTTCCCTTCATCCTTCTTTCCTATTGCATCTTGTCTAATGAGCTTTATCCCTGGGCAAATGCTACCCTCTTGATGAACTCCTGTGGTTGGTTGTTCTAATGAGTGTGTACTTTCCTGGTATTTGTTCACCTTACAGGCCTGTCATTTGACTGAGAGTTGAGCCACGGGGGTGAGTTAAGTTCCAGGCTTGATGGGTGTCTAAGGCCATGCTCTCAGGGGTTCCACCAGTTTCTGTCAGATCAATAAGCCTGTTCTTTTTTATGATTTTAAGAAAATGCATATATATATTCTACTAATAGAGAGTGACAGAAAAGGGATTAATCAAAGGTGGAAAACTTGTGAGAACAAGGCAGTCCAATGGAGTTTCAACTCTCACCGGTTTCATGATCTTACTTGAACTAAGTAGCTGCTGGTTGAGGTGAGAGGATTTTTTTTCCTTTATGCAGGAATTTTGATGGTGTGGGGCGTCTGTATCTCTGTCTCTCCCTTCCTGATTCACCATAGCTCAGTTTCATCATAGTAGTTTTACATTCAGCAGTCTGTTTTAACCCTGACCATTAGACATAGGGAGCTCTGGTAGCATAGTGGCTAAGGCACTTGACTGCTAACCAGAAGGCTGGCGGTTCAAACCCTCCAGCCACTCCTCGGAAAGCAGGTTGGACAATCTACTTCTGTAGTGATACTTCCTCAGAAACCCAAGGAGGGGTCGCTATGAGTCGGGTTCGACTCAACGGCACATAACAACAACAACAACATTAGGCATGAAATGAAGTAGTGGTGATTCTGTGGTAGAATTATTGCTTTTTTTGCTGGAGACCTGCGTTCAATTCCAGACCAATACACCTCATGCATAATTACTGCCCATCTGTCATTGGTGGCTTGCATGTTGCTATGATGTTGAACAGGTTCCAGCAGAGTTTCCAGACTAATACTAGGAAGAAAGGCCTGGTGATCTACTTCCAAAAATCAGCCAGTGAAAACTCTATGGAAATGGGGTTGTCATAAATTGCAGTCTCCTACTTTGATGACATCTAACAATAACAGCAGTTAGGCACGAGCTTAAATTCCATTTATAAATCTGTCTTATCAATTTGTCTCCACAACTCTACCAAGTTATTTCCCTTGATTTCTTTTCAGTTAATATTCTTTAAGCTTCTTCCAGTTTCTATACTTGCCTTGCTTGGGGGTTGGTGGTAGAGGTGGAAGTTTAAAGAACCAAAAAAAGGTATAGTTGTTGGATTTTTTTTTTTTTTTTTAATTGTGGTTTGAGTGGAAGTTTACAGAGCAAATTCATTTTCCATACAACAGTTCATACACTTTTGTTTCATGACATTGACTGAAATCAATAGCTCTCTTCCCATTTCCTCCCTTTGGTTACCTTTCCCTGTGTCATTCTTTCCTATGCATTCCTGCCCTCTGGGCTATCTCCCTGTGCAGATCCTGCCCTGATCTCCCATGGTTGATTGTTCTAAGGAGTGCACCTACCTGGTATAAATGTTCACTTTATATGCTTTTTTCTTGTTTTGCTGGAAGCCACAGGAGTGAGTTCAATTCCAGGCCTGAAGGGTGACAAGTGGCCATAGTCTTAGGGTTTCATCAGTCTCTATTAGACCAGTAAGCCTGGTCTTTTTTATGATTTTGTGTTTTGTTTCGTATTTTTCTCCCACTCTATCCAGGATCTCCTACACTGATTCCTTTAGTTTTAGTAATTTTTTGCATTGTGGAAGCTTTCTTTACTTCATAATTCCGATCAAAAGAATAAAGGTTACGTGGTATTCTAGGGAGTTTTCCTAAAATATGGATATTGTTTAGGATTTGGCTTAGGAAACATGTTACTTATCAATATGTAGAACTCCTGGTAAACACGGATTTCATTAGAGTGTAACATTAATTAGACTATTTTATAATTTTCAAATGGAAACTCATATACATCAAAATTGCCCTTGACAATCCTTAATCTGCTCATAAGTAGACTATACATGGTTTTGTGTGTTTAGTACAATATGGTAATTCTTATTTGAGGCCTGCTAGGATAGAGGAAAGGAGGATAGGATTAAACAAAAGGAAAATCTATATGTGGATATTTAAACCATTTTGTCTTTAATAACTTTCAAATCTCTAGGGGCAAATGGAGAATGGATGGATAATTAAATGCTCCTGCTTGCTTGCAGGGGTTTATTTTACTCTATTTTTAATATTAAAATTTTAGAGCCTTAATATATGCTAATTATTTGTTATAAGGATTAAATATGGTGATTTATGAGAAAGCTTGCAACAGGGTCTGACAAGTAATTGGTGCTTACTGTACATCTGTTGGGTTTGAATCTCATTGTCATAGATAGTAAGTATCATGGCTTAGTGATCAGTTAGATTCTCCTTGTGCTTTGTCATTTTGTACAAAGTTTGATTTTTAAATTCTAAAATAGTAGCTGGTGATTTCTTTCTTTCTGGGTGTTTTTAGGATGAATTAAGTGAAGTGATTGATATTAAGGATCCAGACTCTGTTCCTGCAGCTGAACGAAGACAGAAACGCCTGGCTGCTGAGCTGGCCAAATTTGATCCTGATCATTACCTGTGAGTTTTGAGTGTTTTGGGCAGTAAATAACTTAGTTGAAATTTCTTTTTCAAAAAATCGAGTGTCTTTCACTATTCTATATATGTGCTTTTTGAACTCTAGGAATTAATGATCACTCAAAGCTTTACTGACATTGAATGAACCTACAATCACTACATCTGTGTAATAGTATAAGGAGTTGCCTTCCTAGCAACAGAACTCTTTAAACATATTTCTTTGGGTTTTATACTTGCTAGGCTGAAAAATACAATATTAAACTCAAGAGAATATTTACACTTCTTTTCATTAGACGTTCTGTATTGATTAGTGATTAAATGAAAAATTTTCAGTTTCTTTAAGAATTTGAAGCTGTTTGTACTGTGATGCTTTGCTCATCCTGGATCTTTCTAACACTAGCACTAACAGCAGCACTAATACCTGTAATCAAGGATTTGTTTCAAATTAACAATCATTTTTCATGGTCATGTTTAACTAAAGTCTAATTTTAAGTTTTGTTGTATTTTCCACATGTCCCTGCATTAATTGTGTCTTTAGTCATAATGTGTCTGTAGATAAAGTGATAGATAACTGCCTTCAAGTTGACTTTGACTCATGACAACCTTGTGTACAGCAGAACCAAACACTGCCTGATCTTGTGTCATCCTCTCAATAGCCAACATGTTTGAGTCCATTTTGGTGGCTGTGTTGCCAGTCCATCACACCAAGGGTCTCACTCACCCTCACTGGCCCTCTGTTTAATGAAACATTATGGCCTCCTGCAGAGGTGGATCTCTCCTGATGACATTTCCAAAGTCAGACAGTGTTCTGTTGTGATCTGTAAAGTTTTCATTGGCTAATTTGAAATGGAAGTAGATGGCCAGGACTTTCTTCCTAGTCTGTCTTAGTCTGGGAGCTCTGGTGAAACCTGTCTACTCTGAGTGACCCTACTGGTATTTGAAATACTGGTGACCTGGCTTCCAGGATCACAACAATACTCAAGCTACCACAGTATGACAGACTAACAGATGAGTGGTAGACTGCATCTGTGCTAGGCTTATATTTACTTAAGAGGCTTATTGAATTAATGAACAGGTAAATAATCACTTGAGGGGAGATTTTGATGTCTCTCATTGGCCAGGTTAACAGAGCATGTCTTCTCAGGAGGCAGTTGTCACCTGGTCTCTGTAGATACTTGGTTTCCAAAGAATGTGTGGAGAATGGGTGTCCTGTGTTGATGTAACACCTCAATTATCTTGCCAGGCTGTGGGCTAACAATTTTTTAACTGTTGGATACAGCACTAGCAGTCATATCTTTCTATATTTGTGTAGTGCTTTTTGCTTATCAAGCACTGTAATGTGATTATTTAATTTAGTTTTCACAACAGAGGAGGAAAGGAGGTTAAGGGACTTCCTCAAGTTCATATCATGACTAAGGGGCTTGGGCAGGATTTGAAAAGAGCTTCCCTATCTGTTATTTCATATTTCCTTTTCATGTATGCTATTTAAGTTTAACTGCTGTTGCTCTTGTGATTAACATTCTATCTTCTGTGACACAGTAGGATACTAATTGGAAGGGAGAAATATATCTTGTGATGTGCAAATGCATTGAGTGATGTGTAGTGATAAATGGTTGAACTATTCAACATCCTAAGGGAAACTGGATAAGAGCAGGATATATTATATTTTGGAGGACATCTGAGAGATTCAACTCCATTTACATTGCCATTTCTAATTACCTTTATCTCTCCAATTGTGGTTTTAAAGGTCCACTGAAGAGTAATTTGAAGAAATCCATTTAAAATCATGCTGAATATTTAAAGTGGAAATTTCATTGTCAGCAAATTTCTGAGGCAAGCATAAAAACAGAATGAGCTTTACAAGACTGAAATTTCAAGTGGGAGGGAGCTTAATTAGAAGAACCACTTATCTCTTCTCTTTTTAAGCTAGAAGAATAACGATTTGGCCTGAGAGAATAAGGAAATTGGAATTTATAGTTAGAAGTGTGATGTTATAAGTAGCCTTATTTTCTCCATCTTCAGTGTTTCTTTATCTAGAAGCTCATTTTCTTTAATAGTATGCCTGACATGTTCCTACCATTTCTCAAGGAATAGTTCCTCTTATGTAATGGTTTAACTTGAGTCACAGGCTAAATCAGGAAAGTGGAGTCATGAGGTAAAGGTTCTTTGTGACTTTTTCTTGTAGCAATAAGCTAACTGTAATTTTTTGTTACTCATTACTCATTATTTGTATTAGCTAACTGATTCACCTAAATGTGTTAATATGAAATGAAGCACCAGTATAGTTCTTTTAAATTTGCAATAATTTTTTTTTCATTCAAAGCTTTTTCGTTAATAGTTAATACAGTGTAAGGAAAAGGCTTATGTTAAAATTCTTTATTGTCCACAATGCAAATAATGAATTGTATGCATAATATATTTTCAAACATTAAGTATAATAGCTGTGTGTCCTACGTAATATGTTATGTAATACATTAATGTATTATAACATTTAAATTATCTGGCTTCTCTTTACAAGTCATGATATATCTTCATGCTGTCAGGTATATTTTATTTTATTTTTTTGGTTTCACAAAAAATAATGATCATTTGAGCAGCCTGAGCAGAACATAGTTAGGGAGGTAAATTGTATAAAAAAAAAAATGTATATATTTCACATGGCCTATGAGAGACATTACTATTTTCCCTCAAGGATTATTATTATTTTTAAAATCCTCTTTGAAAAATGAATTATTTCTTTATTTAGAGGATGGTATGTTCTGCAGGCCATTGGAGTACTGGGCATGTAATAGATAATTCACAAACATTTATTGCTTTCTGATTATCCATTTCTTGCCATTTATACCTTTTGGGTATTATTTTTTATACCAAAATATGCTGAAGGCATTTTGTAAAATTCCGTAATAATCTTTCTTCTTGGGCTTATGATAACCAAGCTTTCATATTTCTCTTACTGAGGATTTTTTTTCCTCCTTGACAGTCAAATTGTTTTTTAAATGGTAGGTATATTATCTTTTTACCTTAATCAATTAATAAAATCTCACCTATCTGAGTAATGAAATAGAAGAATTTAGTCAGCATACTAAATATATGTATTTTTTTAAATTGTGATTTGAGTGAAAGTTTACAGAGCAAATTTGCTTTCCATTCAGCAGTCCATATACATTTTGTTTCATGACATTGATTGAAATCCCCATAATATAACAGCTCTCTTCCCACTTCCTCCCTGTGGTTTACCTTTTCCCTATAACCTTCTTTCCGGTGCATTCCTGCCCTTTGAGCTATCTCCCTGTGTAAAGATTGCCCTTCTGAGTTCCCATGGTTGATTATTCTAAGGAGTATACCTGCCTGTTGTAACAGTTAACCTAGTAGGCTGTCTATTGTTTGGCTGGAAGCCATGGGAGTTAGTTTAATCCTAGGTCTGAAGAGTGACTAGGAGCTATAGTCTCAGGGGTTTACCAGTCTCTATCTAACCAGTAAACCTGGTCTTTTTGTTTTTGAAATTTTTTTCTGCATTTTTTTCTCCTACTCTATCCAGGTTCTCCTATTTTGATCCCTTTCTGAGTGGTTGGCAGTGGTAGCTAGGCACCATCTAGTTCTTCTGGTTTTAGGGTCATGTAGGCTGAAGTTCACATGGTCTCCTAATCCCGTGGACTAATTGTTTCCGTACATCTTTGGTTTTCTTCATTCCTCTTTGTTCCAGATGAGGAGAGACCAATTGTTGCATTTTAGATGGCCCCTTGCAAGCTTTTAAGACTCCATTTGCTACTTACCAAAGTAGGATGTAGAACAATGTTTTTGTGCAGTATGTTATGCCAGTTGAGCTTGATGTCCCCTGTGACCATGGTCCTGAGCTTGTGGGCCCAGCAACTCACTCCTTCCAGGTGTTTGGCTCTGGCTAAGAAGTTATCATAACTTTGTTCCCATTAGCTCTATTATATATATATATATATATATATATATATATATATATATATGGAAGTTCTTATAACACATATAAATAAATACATATGTAGAAATATTATGGCCCAACATATATGGTTATGGGTTTATTCCCTTTTGCCTACCCATACATGATAATTTAGCATGTCTCCCTATACATCCACCCATAGATTAATGTTTGTTATTACTGGTAACCCAGTATTGGGTGTCAATATGCTAAATTATCTTTCATGTAAGAAAAGTGACAAAAATATAGTACTGTTTTCTATAAACTTGTAAAAAAAAAAAATAGGTGGCATGCTGGTCAAGGTTTTGGACTTACTGAGGTGATCATCTCAAGAATATAAGTAATAATTATGAAGATAGCATGAGAATCACATACTTCCCAGATGACTCTCTAATCAAAACACCAAGCTTACAAAAAGGCAATAGAATAAACTCATTTATTCATCCTTTCATTTATGCATTTATTTCTTCAACAAGTATTTGTTTGAATGAACTGTGTACCAGACAATGTTACAGGCACCAGGAGCACTGTGGTGAAAATGACAAGGTCTCTGCACTTTTGAGAGTGACTGAGTATCAATATGTCCAAAACTGAGCTCAATGATTTTACCTCTAATTAGTATTTCTAATTTTCTATTTGGTTGAATGCCCATTTTTCACTGAGTCACCCAGGTTAGAAACCTGGTATTTGTCTTTAACTTCTGCTTTAGAATCACACACATCCAATCCTTAAGTTGTGCCATTTATCTCTTTATTATTTCCTTCACTATCTGTTTCTCTCATCATATTTGCCTGGCTTATTGCAGCAGTCTCCTAATCGCCTAACTTATTCTTAACACCAGCCTGGACTTGTTCAATCCATCAGCCATAAAAATACTGGTCTTATGTATGGAAAATGAAAACCTACTTAAACCCTTAGTTGGTTTTCCTTTTACTTATAGCATAGCTCCTAACCCCTTGGCATAGCATTGAAAGTTCTCTGTGATCTGGACCCTGCCTCCCTCTGTTGCCACTGTTCTTTCATCCTCTGTGCACATTTTATTTATTTAACTTTT